GTTAGCACCACATAGTCCTTAGGCATGGGGACTCCATGGCCAAGATGCATATTTCAACATACTGATTGCCTAGTCTTGGCCAAGTTATTAACTTCTCCAGGCATCAGTTTCCCATTTATTAACATGTAGATAACAGAATGCCTATCTCTTAAGGTCATTATGAGAATTAAAATTTTAAGACCTAGAAAGTGACTAAACAGTACCTGGCATATGAGTAACTAACAAAAGTTATTATCATTAATAAGCACCTCATGAAAAAAATTGGCAAGTTCTAGTATTCTATAGGATTGTAGGATGACTACAGATAATGATACTATATTATATACTTCCAAACAGCTACAAGGAGGATACTGAATGTTCCTAACACAAAGAAAATGAAAAATGTTTGAGATGATGGATATGCTAATTACCCTGATGTGGTCACTGTACATTCCATGTATCAAAACATCACCATGTCTACATGACTATTTACAACTATTGTACATCAATTAAATGAATAAAACAAAACAAGTTAATTTAAATTAAATAAAATTCAAAATGCAAAAAGAGAATTGATGATTTAATCAAAAAGTTTACCTTAAAATAACCAATAGTCAAAGGACACTAAACTGACACTTGCCATTTCAAAAATTAAAATGAAATTTATCTGCTTCCACTATGAAACATCACATAATATGAACAAAACCAATGTCTCTAAGCAAATCAATCACTATAATAGGTATAAATTAGACATTTTCAATACTAGAATATTAGGTAAAATTCACCCCCAAATAACACATCAGCAATTATAAATCACTAAGTCAGAGTCTGTTTTATTTTGAATGAATGTAGACTGAAGTTTATAACAAAAAAGGAAAACAAGAATATAAGGGTATTAACACACGCTACCTCATAATTAAGGCCAACGTCTATCTGTTTAAGAAAATAAACTGTATCCAAATATTCTGTGAGACTCACTAAAATATATTAACATAATTAAAACATAAAATGAGCTTTAAGCAATATAATCTACTTACACTACTGCCTTAAAAAGTTAATTCCAAAACAACATTGATCAAAACTTGAAATTGAAACTTCTAGGTAGCACTTTTAAGTATCTTGCTTGAAAATACATGATAATGTATGCATACTACACCCAGATGACTCTTTCCCAGTCATCCTAATTAATAAAGTCTTACCATATGAGTATTCTCTTTGTTAAAACCGTAAGAACCTTTGGCATTTAGGTATGCAATAATACTTGGAACACTGTCCGGGATGAAAACAAAAAAATTTGTAAGGCACATCATTTTATGAAGACCACTTAATTTCACTAAAGAGAGACAGGAAGACTTGGACTGATTTTCCACATAAACTCCCTGTGTGTTTTGCTGAACATGTTGATAGTAAGCAAGTTTGTGGAAGATCCTTTACAGCCTATTCATTCATTGTTTCCATGGTATACTCTTTATAAATATTAATGTTCACATATAACAAAGAATCTATATCAAAAACACTGCTACCGAAATTTTGAGAAGATTGAACTAATTATGCAATGAAACATTTCCTCAATTAAAACTTTTTAAAATTTAAATGATCGTTTTTAAATTTTAAATTATTTTGACATAAGGCTATTAGCACAAGATCTGCTAAAGTTACACTGAGCTGGCTAGAATTACCATTTAGGGAAAGATCGGCATCAGGTTATAAAATTGTAGTCATTTTATTGAGTTTAACTGAAGGCAATCAACAACATTGCAAAAGCTGTGACTCTGAAGGCAATCAACATCATTGCAAAAGCTGTGACTCTGAATATTGATACATTATTTAGAACTCTGTTTTTAAAAGGATAATTAAGATAACGTGCTGTTTAGTCAATCCAGCAATAAAAGGAAGATAAAGAAAATGTATTAAAATTATCATGAAGCAATGGGGAAAATATTAGTATACTTACCTGGGGAAGCAATTTCGTCTATCATGAGTATTTCTATCTTATTTTGTTACACTGGTGTGTGTGTGTGTGTGTGTGTGTGTGTGTGTGTGTGCGCATCAAACATCTTTGTTTGCTTCCCTCTCTTATCTCCTTATCATGTAGTATAAGATGTATTGACTTTATATCATAGTATTTAAGTGTTGTTAACTTCACATCATAGTATTTAAGCTATGGCATAGCAAGGAGATGAATAAACATCACCCAAGAACTTTGTGTCTTCTTTTGGGGAAAGGGTTAGTAAATTTGCAGTTGCACACAGGGTTGTTGAATCATGTTAGGTGGAAGTATGACTTTGTTCTTGTCTTTATTTGAAAATTAAATGTGGTTTAAGAAGATATGTACGGGTGCCAAGTTGACAAGGGGTCGATTGACTTGTGATGTTCAATTTTACATGTCAACTTGGATAGGTCACAATACCAGAAAGTTGCTCAAACATTATTCTACTGTAGACGTTTTGGTGAAGATACTCTTTAGTAACATCTAAATGAATAGACATTGAGTAAAGCTGATCACCCTCCAATAATGTGGGCAAGCCTCATCCAATCAGTTGAATAGAAAAAAGTCCCACTTTTCCCCTAGGAAGAGGAAATTCTATCAGTAGATGGCTTTCAGACTCGAATTGTAGCATCTCTGACCAATGGGCCTTACCCTATAGATTTTGGACTTGCCAGCCTCCACAATCACATAAACCAATTCCTTAAAATAAATCTCCTTCTCACTGTATATATACACGCACATCCTGCTTGTCCTGCTTTTCTGGAGACCGCTGACTAATACACAGCCTGATAGTTAACAGTTTGAGCTATGAATCCAAATAGCCTGGGTATCAATCCTGACTCTACTACAAACTAGTTGGGAGACCTGGGCAAATTACTTAACCACATTAAGCCTCAGACTCCTCATCTACAAAATGGAATAATAAATATTAGCCTTTACCTGGCAGAATTGAGGTTTAAATAAATTTTATATATAAAAAATATTAGGAAAAGCATGCTCTGTGTGTTGGGCATTTTCTAAACATTAACAAATATTAACTATTATTCCCAAGCTTCTTCCAATATAGCTAGAAAACTTTCAGTTAGGCTTAGTAAGAAGGGACAACATGAATAAATTTTAGAAATGATTTCCATGGTTGTTTGGGAATCTATTTTTGTAAGAAATATTTAAGATGAAGGAACATTGAATCCACAGGTGTTCAAAATTGTGGTTTCTTGAATGAAATAGCAATAATTAGCATTTGAAAACAGATGAAGCAAAAGTATACTTTCCTTTATAGAATACCTGTTTTATTAAAAGGTGCTGACCAATATAATATCTGAAAAATAATATCATATGAAGCTACTGATATAATCTCAGAAGTGCTTTAAACGTGGTTTCTAATTGTTAGTAGTTCTTAAGATATTGCCTCTATCTTTATAGTCTATACTTGACCTCTATATATTTTTGTCACTTTTCCATCCTTTCTGCTCACTATCCACATATAGCCTTGTCCTATAATTTCATCTCTTTTATTTGCAATTCTCTGCCAAGTGTACATTATGTGTATTTTTATTGCATTTTGTCACCAGAAGAAAGTCTAAATGAATATTTATTTATTATTCTAAATGAATAATATTTTTGGCCTTGGAAGAATTTTATATTGTTGACATAGAGGGTAAAAACTATAAGGGAAAAAATGATAGAAGTTACTACTTAAAAACTGAATGCCTAACATATATCCAAAAAGATGACAAAGAATAAATAAAAGATGCCTGCTGAGAAGAAAGAATATTTCTTATATACTGTCAATATTTTAATAGAAATAATAATACTTATTATTATGTTGTGGTGTTCTATACTTTACATTAAACATTCATACAAATTATCTCATTTTATACCAATCCTATAAAAAGGCAGAATGCAGGATTTTTCATCTGTTGGCTCTAATGACATTTTGACCCAGATAAATCTTTGTTCTGGGCAGCTACCCTTTTGGGCAGTATGCCTGGCCTTTACCCACTAGAAAGTCAGCAGTCCCCCAAATATCACCCCCTTTGTGACAACCAAAAATGTCTCCAGATATCACCAAATGTCTCCTGGGAGACAGAATCATCGCCAGTTGAAAACCACTGGCAGAAAGAAAGAATATCTTCTTTTTTCACAAATTGGTTAGGTGAAACAGAGAAATTAAGTGACTTGCCCAAATACACCGTTTCTCTGAATGACCTATAAGTTTGATAATTATAGGACACTATCACACAAATGTTTTGGATAAAACATTAATCACCACCTAAGAAACTGGTTTTCACATGTTACCGTCTTACATTACAGGTATTTCTGAACTCACTGTCTTCCAAGCTGATTCAGTCATTATCTCAAGCTACTTTCTTCCCACAAAAGAAAAACATGTTATTATAGATTTCAAGTCAGAAATAAGTATTATGAAAAATTAGCTAGGTATAAAACATATTTACACAGTGGGTGCCTCAGTTTTTTTTTTCAAAACACTTCCTCTATTAGTCTTTACAGGATGTATGAAACAAGCTATCATTCCTATTAATTAGGCAGGTAATATGCCATCCAATCTTTATTATCTGCCTCTGTCATACACATGAAAAACATTTTCTTTTTACAGAAGCAGGAAAACTAGTCACATATTAAAAGTTAAGGGTACAGTTGAAGATGCTTAAATTATTGGACCAAAAATACTTCCAGTGATCTTGAGCTTCTACTGAAGCTTTGTATGTTAGCTCAGTGACCTGACTGCATGCAGAATATTCAGTGTAATAAACTACCTTTCTTTTTTCACATTTTTAACTTTTCCATGTCTGACAAAATAGTGGATTCTCATATTAATATTCTAAACACAAACACTTCACATAATTAGTTAATGACTGTATCTAAGTAGTATTTCAACTTTTTTCAAACTAATTTCTCAATAAAAGAAGGAAAAATTGAATTTTCCATGTAATGCATTGCCATCTGTGTGCAGCTGATAAGATGAAAAGGGAATATTTGAATGTCAGAGGATTGGAGTTACAAACCATACCTTCCATGACATACACCAGTGACCCCACATCTCCTTCTTTGATGATGCAACTGTCCTTGCCATACTCCACCGGGTACATACAATCCACGATCTCCTGGATCTGTGACAGCTCCAAGTTCTTCATAAAGTCATTATCAAGGATAGCTTCCTTTATAAGATCCTTGGACCTATGGCAAGAGAGGGAAGATTTACTGGCACATCTGACAAGCTCTTTCATAGTTTGTGAGGTTTAGCAGAGCCATACAGTGCTCTGGCACACCACAAATGTATTTTCTTGTTAGGAATCCAATAATTTTCTGGAAGACTGGAGAACAAAGTAGTTCCATGGCAGCAAAAAAGGGCACTAAGAATTTTTTAAAGTACTCTATCATTTAATGAATAAGTGACCTACCAACCAACCAACAAATAAAATCAAACAAGTTCATTTTGCTTTAGACTTTTTCTTGATCACAAAGATTGCCAGAAAACCAATGGATACATACTTTAAATTAAAGTTTGTAATTTAGTTTAAGAATAAATATGAATAAAATTTTAAAACTCCAGAGCAAATGCTATTACTACTGTTATATTTGTAAAAGAACATCAGGAATGTATTGCCCTATACACAATTACAGAAAAAAATGTTTACTTATTTTTTATGTGCCTCTTCTGCTAGACTTTATGCTCCACATAGGCAGAGATCATTTTAAAATTGTTTTTTTTTACTGTATGCCCAGTGTCTACTAAGATGACAGTCATTTATAAACAGTATTTAAAAAAACACCAACCCAATAGCTTTATGTGTGAAGACTGGTGAATATAATGTTACTTTCAGTAAATGGTGGGAGATAATACTGCTCAAGTAATATTTTGGATTAAAAAAGATAAGACTTGGACTCCTACTTAGCTGTTTGAAACAACTGGTAGAAATGCAACAGTTCTTTATACATGTCCCATGCTTTTATAGAGAATATTTCTTTCCTCAAGCGGCTTAGACTGAGGTAACCAGGCAAATAAACTCTATCGAACAAGATGTTTGAAGTGCAACACGTTTTAGGTATGGGATTCAATACAGGTAGTCAGTAGGAAACATATTCATAAATTTTGTAATTGGAATTCAGCAGTTAATGAGAAATATTTAGCAGAACTTAAAACATTGGGATATTTATTTGCTCAGATAAGAAGTTCCAAATGACTTTCTAAGAATGCAAAAATCAAAGTGGAAGAGACATTAAGAAATGTTTTATCAGGAGGACAATCAGAGCACTATCAGAGAAGTCAGAAGCCAGATACGATGAAAGCAAAGACCTTAGCAATCCAGAGAGGAGACAGCACATTTGGAAAGTCATATTAAAAGTCTTAATTTTAAAAAAATTAAACACAAACTGACCTTTGTCCTCACTTGCTTAGCAAGTGGCTTCCAGGGAAATGACCTGCAGTAGTGAATACTGACTAAAGCATTAGTCTTCTCTCCCAATTTCTGGGAGGCTTTTCATCTAGACCTCAGTCTAACTAGCCTAGCCTTCACCATTATGTTTCGTAATAATTCAGTTTTAAGTAGTGCAAAGATACACATAAAAATAAAAACAATTGAAATTTCATTAATATGAAGAATAATCCTAGAATGGAATGTTATGCTACCATTAAAATTATGTTTATGAGGAGTGTTAATGGCATGGAGGAAATTCTTCTATTATTTTTAAGTGAAAATGCAGGATACAAAATTTGCAGGATACAAAAGGATTTTAGAGTAAGAATGTATGTGCCTATTAAAATGTAAAAAAAAAAAAACACACACACACACAAAACAAAACATAGGTTTTGAAGAGGCATATATTTGTGTTTCAATCCTAGCCCTGACACCTCAAAAATTTTGAGTGGGTTGTCTTACTTTTTTTCTGAATTTCCATGTTATCATCTACAAAACGATATTTTTAAAATACCAGCTTAATAGGTTTATATGTGAAGATCAAGGAATAAAATGTTACTTTCAGTAAATGATAGGGGATAAAGGTTGTAGCAGTATTAATTGTAGTATTATCTTCACCCGTCCTTATAATTACCTTCACCACTCTTGGTCTGAAGAATAGCAGTGGCACCTTCATACCACTTCTTCATATTGACTCCTGAAATCTACTGTTCTGGGATTATTTTTCCAAGAATCTGGGCTTATTTGGTACTCAGGAAATTAATATTGGTCAAATTGTATTACATTTTCTCTTTCCTAATTTTTTTTTTTTTTTTTTTTTTTTTTTTTTGGTCAGAGAGTGAGGCCATTTGATGGGATCATAGTTTCTTGCACAATAAAAACTAATCAAGAACCACAACTTATTCAGCTACACACAGATGGTATATTATCCTTTGTGAAGTATTAAGAGTGGCCTATAAAGATTTAAGTCCTAGAAATGCAGTAAGATTAAAAATGAAGCCCTCTTCCAAGAACATAGTTATAATTAGTACCATCCAAATATGACTGAAGTCGCTTTCTCCCCTCTCATAAATAGGATTATTAACCTGTTTGATGAAGATATTACAAAAGATTAAACAATGATCTCTAACACAATTCCTTAGAATTATCCAAACTTTTCAACTGTTTATCACTGACTGTAGAGTGTGGGATGGGAAGGATGGGATTTCAGGATGTTTTTGTTTCTCAAATTGTATTTTGGATGGAGGACATTTAATTTCAGGTCTCTGAAGAAACAAACTGGAAACTTCCATATAGGCTGTTGTGTCACTTTAAAGGAAACTAATCAATATAGGACCATATCTTACTATTTATACCTTCATACAGGTATTGCCAAATAGCATTGTTTCTGAATTGTCACAAATAATTTGTCTCTACTCTCATAGCAAGATAGATATCTTGTGCTTCTGTGTAGTGCAACCCCAAAAATGTTCTTGTCAGAGAATAATACTCAAAACCCTGACTTTTCATGTAATTTTAAGTCCTTTCCTACTGAGAACTGAAAACCTTAGGTCAACTCTCATTAGTCTTTACTTTCTCTGACATTATAGACTATAATTAATCAGGGCCTCCATCTCACTCTTCTTTGAATCCTTTTCTTTCCCCAAAGAAATGGTCTAAGACACTCACTGTAACTAAGATATAATGCATATAAAAATCAGTGAGTTGAGCTATGTTATTAGTATGGGAGTTGGGGAAAGCTGATATCACAAGTTACAGAAGGTAGCCATCTGCTTAACCCAGAGTATATATTTTTACAATATTTTGAAATAATTCAGCAGCCTGACCTGGGAGGTATAAGAAGCAACCACAAGATCATGATTTTTTTTTAATCTTTACTATCTGCCTTTGTGTATAAATAATTTATTTTTTAAAATCTTTTTCTTTCATGCCCAAAAGGTGTGGCTTTTTAAATCTAAACACCCATAAACGTGACTTGACTAATTTGAGCTAGCCCTATTTCTTTGTCATCATTGGATTGTCAGCCTCTGAAATATTAGCTATATATAAAATGATATGCCGGTATGCTGGCTGTCTGGCTGGGTTGGAGAAAAGCGGGGGAAGCTATGGTATGTAGCATTTGCCAATTTCCATGGTGTAAATACTCCCACCATGGCCAATTTCAAGCTTTCATGCAAAATCAACCTGTTTGCAAAGTTCCTGGAAATTAACAAGCAGATCTTACATGAGCCAGTGCAAGTTGGCTCCAGCACAATACTGGATATAGAGTATTTTTCTAACACCCTAAGAATTTAGTGTAACTTAATTTATAAATTCTGAAACCAACATGATAATCCTTTCTTTCCTTAAAAAATCTCATGAGGTGGTATAATATCCCCAGATAATTTAATGCCAGGATTAGTAATAGTTCTTCCAAACGTTCAATGTTAGAAAAATAAATTGGAAAATTCATTTCCCCATTTACTTATTACAGAAAAAATTTCTGAATATAAAGAAAAAATAATTGATAGAAATTGTCTTTCTACACAATCTTAGTTAAAAATGGACAATTTTAGAGTATAGGAAAACATATACCTACTTTTCAAATAAGGGAGCCAGCACTATTCACTGTTAATAAACAGTCCCCCACTAGTTTTTCTTAAGCTAATAAAAGGATATTCTACATAATGGTTACCATACAGTAGGCTAGCAATATGTAAGTGGCAGTAGGGTTATTTCAAGGAGTAGGGAAGGCTAGTTCAGATTAAGTGGTCAGGAAGGCCTCTCTGAAATAAAGAGTATACGACAATGAGATCCAACTATTGTTTTCTCTTTTGCGATGATGATGAGGAAAATCATTCTAAGTAGAAGTAAAAACAAGGACAAAGGTATAGAGTTTGGAATGACCTTGATACATTCAAGGATCAGAAAGTAGACCTGTATGGTTGAAGCATACAGTGAGAAAGAAGGAATGGGATGGGAGAATAAGATCATTGAGGTAGGCAGGGGATGGGTGTCATAGGACCTTGAAGACTACAATAAAGAGTTTTATTTTATTCCAAACACCAGTGAAGGACTATAAAAAGGGGTTTGATTTATAGACAATATAACAGACATAAAGAATAAATGATGTAAATTTACTTTAAAATGTCACTGAAGTTGTGGAGGTTTTCTGTTGTGGATTTCATCAATTAATGAATACCAAAAGCAAAATTGATTATCATATTAATAAGTGAGTTTTATAATTGAAACTCTTGGGAACCACTGTCTCATAAAGCTTACATTTATTTGGACTTTAAATCACTTACTCTCAGGCAACTCTTACGTATTAGGAGAGAATGAAGTCTCATCTCAATTTCAAAAACTATCTCCAGAGGCCTGAAGTGTGCCCACTCTCTACTTTCACTTATGTTTTAGAACAGTTTCCCCCTCAGTCAGGTCACAGGAAATCTCTTCGATTAAAAAAGACTTCCAGGCACTTTAAAAGACATAGTCAAAGCTATTAAGTTATTGCTAAGAATGGAAATCAGCTAAAGCGATTTGAAAAAGTAGCACAAAACTTCTATAATATAAATTTGTGACCAAAAACATCACTCACTAAAGTTCTTTTGCACTGAATGGTCAACTTTGGGATCAAATGTCAGAAGAAGCAATAAACGATTTTCACGGTCACCTTGGCCTACAGTATTGTCTGTCCATTTGGGAACTCAGACATCCAAGTCTTCATTGAGGACATAATGACAGTCCATAGCTCTTTCACACAAACATACTCCTTGCAGA